ATGGTACTTGTATAAAAATGGGCACATAGACCAATGGAACAGCATAGAGAACCCAGAAATAAAGCCAAATATAGTCCACTGATCTTCAACAAAGCATACAAAAACATAAACTGGGGAAAGGACACCCTTCAATATTGTATGACCTTCAACAAAGCATACAAAAATATAAATTGGGGAAAGGACGACCTTTCAATAAATGGTGCTGAGAAAATGGGCAAGCCACATGCAGAAGAATGAAACTGGATCTTCATCTCTCGCCTAATACAAGATGGATCAAAGACTTAAATCTAAAACCTAAAACCATAAAAAATTCTAGAAGATAACATCAGAAAACCTCTTCTAGACATTAGCTTAGGCAGATAATTCATGACTAAGAATCCAAAAGCAAATGCAACAAAACCAAAAAATAAATAAATAGGACTTAAACTAAAAACTTCTGCATAACAACAGAAATAATCAGCAAACAGACTACCCACAGAGTGGGAGAAAACATTCGCAAACTGTGCATCCAACAAAGGACTAGTATCCAGAATCAACGAGCAGCTCAAACAAATCAGCAAGAAAAAAACAAATAATCACATCAAAAAATAGGGAAAGAATATGAATATACATTTCTCAAAAAAAGATATACGAATAGCCAACAGACATATGAAAAAATATTCAACATCACTAATCATCAGATAAATGCAAATTAAAACCACAGTGAGATACCACCTTACCCTTGTAAGAATGGCCATAATTAAAAGGTCAAAAAATGATAGATGTTAGAATGAATGTAGTGAAAGGGAACACTTTTAAACTGCTGGTGGCAATGTAAATTAGTGCAACCACTATGGAAAACAACATAAAGATTCCTTAAAGAACTAAAAGCAGATCTACCATTCGATCCAGCAATCCCACTACTGGGTATCTACCCAGAGGAAAAGCAGTCACTATATGAAAAAGATGCTTGCGCACACATGTCTATAGCAGCACAATTTGCAATTGCAAAGATATGGAACCAACCTGAGTGCCCATCAACCAACCAATGAGTAGATAAAGAAAATGTTTTACATATATACACACATATATACACATATATACACACATACACATTTATATATACATATATACATGATATATATAATATATATAACATGGAATACTACTCAGCCATAAAAAGGAACAAAATAATGTCTTTTGCACTTCTTCGATGGAGCTGTAGGCCATTATTCTAAATGAATTAACTGAGAAATGGAAAACCAAATATCGTATGTTTTCACTTATAAGTGGGAGCTAACCTATGAGGATGAAAAGGCTCAAGAGTGATATAATAGACTTTGGGGACTCAGGGGAGATGGTCTAGAGGTGGGTGGGGGATAAACAATTATTTATTGGATACAGTGTACACGGCTCGGGTGATGGGTGCACTAAAATTTCAGAATTCACTTCTAAAGAACTTATCCATGTAGCCCAAAACTACCTGTATTCAAAAACTACTGAACAATAAGAAGAAAAAAAGTCCTCAAATTTGCATAGAACCACAAGAGACCTTGAATAGCTATAGCAATCTGGAGCAAAAAGAACAAAGCTGAAGACTTCACACTATCTGACTTCAAAATTTGCTACAAAGCTATAGTAACCAAAACCGGGTAGTACTCACATAAAGAGATACACATTGACAAATAGAATAGAACAGATAATCCAGAAGTAAATCTACACATTTACAGCCCACTCATTTTCAAAAAAGCACCAAGAATATATATTTGGGAAATGATGGTCTCCTTAATAAATGGTGCTGGAAGAATTGAATATTCATATACAGAAGAATGAAACTAGATTCCCATCATTTGCCATATACAAAAATCAACTCCGAATGTATTAAAGATTTAAGTGTAAGAACTGAAACTATGCAATTACTGAACCATTAGGGAAACACTCCAGGACATTGCTCTGGGCGTAGATTTTCTGGTAAGGCCTCAGAAGCACAAGTCCCTAAAACAAAAATAGACAAATGGGATTTTATGAAGATAAAAAGCTTCTTCACAGCAAAGAAAACAAAGTGAAGAGGCAACCTACAGAAGGAGAGAAAACATTTGCGAACTATCCACCTGACGGGAGATTAACACCAGAATATATAAGGAATGCAAATGACTCAATTGTAAAACAAATACATAATCTGATTAAAAATAAATCATAACCTGAATAGACATTTCTCAAAAGAAGACATACAAATCACCAACAAGTATATGAAAAAACACTCAACATCACTAGTCATCAGGGAAATGCAAATCAAAAACACAGTGAGATATTATTTTACCCCAGTTAGAATGGCTATTATCAAAAAGACAAAAAGTAGTAAACGACGGCAAGGATGTGGAGAAAGGAAAACACTTGTGCACTGTTGATAGGAATAAGTTAGCATAGCCACTATGGAGAACAGTATGGAGGTTTTTCAAAAAGCTTAAAAGAGATCTACCATGAGATCCAACAATCCCACTGCCTGGTATATATTCAAAAGAAGGGAAATCAATATACCAAAGAGGCATCTGCACTCTCAAGTTTATTGCAGCACTATTCACAATAGATAACATATGGAATTGTCAACAGATTGTCAACAGATGAACAGATAATGTGGTATATATCCACAGTAGGTTATTATTCATCCATAAGAAAGAATGAAACCCTGTCATTTTCAGTAACACGGATAGAACTGGGTCATCATATCAAGTAAAGTAAATCAGGTACAGAAAGATAATTATTGCATGGTCTAACTCATGTGTGAGAGGTTATAAAGTGGATTTCACTGAGGTAGAGAGTAGAATGATAGTTACCAGAAGCTGGGAAAGGAAGGGGAATGAGGGAAAAAAGAGAAGTTGGTTAATGGACACTAAAATGCAGTCAGATAGAAGGAATAATTTCTAATATTTGATAGTGTAATAAAGAAATTATAGCCAACAATAGTTTGATGTATATTTCAAAATAGCTAGAAGAGAAAACTTTCAATGTTTCCAACAGAAAGAAAAGACAAATGTTTGAAGTGATGGATATCCCAGTTAACATGGTTTGATCATTACATATTGTATACATGTGTCAAAATATCACATGTACCCCAAAGTATATACAACTTGCTGTATTAATAAAAATACAAAATTTCCCTTAAAAAGCTGAAATGGCTAATTAGTATCAGAGAAAGTAAACTTTATAGCACAACGAGGGAAAAAGAGGGACATCACCTAATGATGAACAAGTTAACTCACCAATGGGAGACCACAATCTTCATGCACTGAAAACAGAGGTTCAAAAAATGAAGCAAAACCTGACAAAACTTAAAATAGAAATACAGAAACCCACCATTATAGTAAGAGATTTTAACACTTCTTTGAACTGTTAGAGGGAAAATCAGCAGGAGTATAGAACTGAATGCCACCATCAACCACCTAGACACAATTAATATTAATAAAACACTCCACCCAATAACAGCAAAAAACACATTCTTTTCAATGGCACATGAGAAGTTCACTAGGATATGTCCTATCCTGGGTCACAAAACAAATGTGACAAATTTCAAAGATTTGAAATAATGTAAGCCATATTCTCTGATTATAATGGAATTAGACTACAACTTTATAACAGAAAGATAACAGAAATATCTCCAAACACTTAGAAATTATATAAGATATCTCTAAGCATTCAGTGGCTCAAAGAGGGAGTCTGAAAGGAAGTTACAACGTATCTGAGCTAAATGAAAATGAAAATATAATGTATAAAACTAGTGGGATGAAGCTGAATCTGTGCTTAAAGGGAAATTGGTAGGATTAAAGGCTTACATTAGATAAGAAGAAATGTCTCATTAGAATTTAAATTTGCAGATTCCGAATAGAGAAAAAAAATAAAAGTAAAAACCCAGATCGAGTAGAAGAAAGCAAATAGTAAAGATAAGAGTAGAAATGAATGAAACAATAAAAATATGCCATCTCACCACTTCTATTTAACATTGTACTTCAAGTTCTATCAAGTGCAGTAAGGCAAGAAAAAGAGACAAAGTTATATAGATTGGACAGTGGAGAAAATCCATTGTTATTTGTAGATAACATGTTTCTCTACGTAGAAAACCTTCTAGAACCAACAAATGAGCTTAGTAAGATGTACGAGGCCGTTCTTGTGTTGAATTAAAGGAATACCTAAGACTGGATAAGTTATAAAGAAAAGAGGTTTAATTGGCTTATGGTTTTGCAAACTTTATAGGAAGCATGGTGCTGGCATCTGCTTCTACTGTGGCCTTAGGAAGCTTGCAATCATGGCAGAAGGTGATAGAGAGCCCGCATGTCACATGACTAGAGCAGGAGCAAGAGAGAGAGAAGGGGGAGGTCCCAAACTAGCTGAGTGAGAAGTCACTTATCACCAAAGGGATGGTACTAAACCATTCATGAGGCATCTGCCACCATGATCTGATCACTTTCCACCAGGCCTCACTTCTAACATAGGGAAAACATTGGATTCTCACATTTAGGAGTCCATTTGAGGTCCTTGAAGGAGTGTGCAGAGAGGAAGATAATCTCTACAGGCCTCTAAAATGGACTAGAGGGGAGGACAGGGCTGTGGTGGCATGTAGCCCTGTTAAGCTTTGTAGCACTGATCATGGACTTGTGTACTCACCTCCAATCTCTTCTGTCTCCCTTACCATTCGGTATAAATTGAAAATAGGAACCATTTTTCCATTCAAGTTGGGGGCACTTCCTCCATGGATTATTTGGAAAATATTACTGTTTATTATAGTGCATCTCAGTGTACCCTGGAAAGAAAAATACCTGCTTCTTGCCCACCAGCAAGGCTGAACTTCTGGAACCCTAAAGGGGAAGGAGCCACATTCAGAACACGTACTTGAACAATTTAGGGAGAAATGCTGCTCCCTAACTCATCTAGTAGGTGATTATGTCCTCGGGTACTTAGAATCCTTGTTTAACATGTAATCTTCATAGTTTGGGATGATCTCAGTTATAATTCACACACAGTGGCCTGACTGGAAGCTGGTGTGTGTGGGTTGTGTGTTTGTATGTATTTACACATTCATGTGTTTGTGGTGCATGTATGTGTGTCCTTTGAAGAGGCTGGGGATGAGGGATAATAAATTTGTCTGGTTCCCCTCTCATCTCTGGGAATCTGAATACTACAGGTGGAACTGAAGGCTAAGCTGGGGAGATTGAAGGGAAGAGACAAACCAGACAATTTTTTTTTGTTTGCATTAAAAATTGAGCAAAAAGCAGGTTACCTTGTTTGCATGAGGAATAGAGGTGGTGATGGGGACCGGTGAGAGAAGAGGATAGTTTTTAATATCTTTTTGTAGGACCAGTTAAATCACCTGAAACTATTCTAACTTTTCCCGTGAGACAAATACCAGTTTATTGCCAGATAATACACACAATGATAGCTTCTGCTTTCATTTCCTGTAACAAATAATGCATCTTTTTTTTCCTCCAAGTTCCATATGATAAAACAAAGAACCTGCCATGTTGCAAAATAGTGTGATAAGGGACAAGTGAAGAACATCAAAAGGGCCCATGAGCTGGTCTGGGCCTAGGAACAGAGGTGAGGAAGAAGATGCCACAAAATGTGGGGAAGCTGAGATGGTGTGTGATGGCTTAGGGAGCTCTGCTACAATGTTCTCACCAATAGGTGCTAGAAACAGCCAAAGTTTAATTATTTCTTTCCTCTCTCTTAAGATTATGACAATAAAATGAAACCATTGCATGTGAGGTGCTTGGCAATGGATCTGACACATTCTAGATCCTTGATCAACTGCCCCAGGGGGTCAGGAGAGGAAGGAGCCAAGGATAATACCCAGGCTCCTGGATGGGGTCATTTGCTGAGAATGAGAACACAGAAATAGACTAGAAGGTAAAGATAAACACAGCAGTGAACACACTGAGCTTGAGGCGTCAATGGAGACGTCTAGTAGAGAGCTGAATGCAGGGTCTGATGCTAGGCAGAGGGTAGGGGGTGGAGATACAGACATGGGCATTAGCAGCTTGGGAATGATCATTGAAGGCAGGGAAGTAGATGTCCTAGTAAGAATGTAAAATATGAGATGAAAATGGGCTCATGACAAGACCCGGCGCTTGAGGGGAGGGTGGAGGTGCAGAAAGAGGAGGCAGCAAAGGAGCCTGAGAATGGTGGAGGGCAGGATTCAGGAGACAGTGATATCAGGGAACCCAAGGAAGACAGTTCTCAGAAAGAGACAGAGAAAGGAGTCAACAGTGCCAAATGCTGGGTGGTTCCTGGTCACCTGGTGGAGTTCTCAGGGGTACTTGCTGGTGGAGGAAGTCCGAGGAGTGAGTGTCTTGGAGCAAGTATACAAGTGCAGCTGTGACATGGAAGATGAAGAAACAGGAGATAGTTGCAGGGTGAGGTTAAGGGGATGCTGAGAGGGGAGAGTCCTGAGAATGTTTAAGGGCTGCAGCAAAGGAGTGAGCGGGGTCCATGGAACACACCAGAGAAAGGGGAACTGCATTAGAGATCGGTGTTCCTGAAACAGTGGGAGGAAAAGAGACTTGAACCACAGGAGAAGGCACTCACTTTAGACAACAGGAGCACACTGCTTTGTGTGGGGACAGTGTGAGAATTAGGAGAGATGAATATAAAGGCAGGTCAGTAGGAAGTGTGCTGGTAAGAACTTGAAGACATTACTTTCTACTGTTCATTTTTTTCTGAAAAATGGGAGGTTCTGTCATTTACCATGAGTGATAAGGTAGGTTAGTGTCTTAGTCTGCTCAGGCGCCAAAACAGAACACCACAGACTGGAGATTGGACATCCGAGATCAGGGAGCCCGCATGGTTGGGTTCTGGTGAGGTCTCTCTTTCTGGCTTGCAGATGGCTGCCTTCTCACCGTGTGCTCACAAGGTGGCTAGAGAGTGATGGGGGTGGGTGAGGGGCGGGGCGTGGGGAGAGAGAGAGAGAGACAGAGAGAGAGAGAGAGAGAGAAAGGTCGATATATTCGTCTTACTGTAGAACACTAATCCCATCATAAAGACTCCACCCTTGTGATCTCATCTAACCTACTTACTTCCCAAAGTTCTGATCTCCAAACACCATCACATTGGGCTTTAGGGATCCAACATAAGAATTTTGGGAGGGGAGGGTAACACAATTCAGTCCACAGCAGATGGAAGTTTGAGAGAATGTGAGAGGCAGTCAGCAGAATGATGAAAGTGTGGGCTCTGGATTCAAACTACTCGGATTTAAATCCTGGTTCTGATACTTCCCAGCTGTGAGGACTTGAGAAATGACAGTCTTTCTATGTCTCTTCCTTTAAAATCTGTAAACGGGGATAGTGACATCTATCTCACAGAGTGCTTATGAGGATTAGATGAATTAAAACGTGCAGAATGCTTTAGAGAGTCTTGGCGCATAGGAAGCACTCAATATGTGCTGGCTATTATTAGTTTATATTATCTTTAGCTGTCATGCACTTAACTGATTGTTGAATGGTGTTAACATTTTGTTGTGGTTAGGTATTGTGAATTTGTGATAGGTCATCCAGAAGACTGGTGATTCTGTCAGGCAGTGTGAGAGTTGTGCAGAGGTTGGATCAATACAAGGTTCATGATTTGCTAACTAGGTAAGACCTGGTGGTAGCGAAACAGAGTTATTTAGGAGCCTGGCTGGAATGTTTGATGTGCTTATCCATGGGATTTTAGCAGGGTAGTAAAAGAGGTGTGGTAGATATGGTGAGCAGGTACTCAGTGGAGTTCCTCTACCCTGGAGGCAGTAAAGCAAACCCCACATTTACCAGGTTCTGTGGCAGCTGGGGCTCTGAATGTGATTTAAGCTTCATTGTCAGAGGTGGGATTGGAGGTTGGAAGTGAGGCAGAAGTCACCCTTTTGCTTTTTCTGGTCTTCTGTGTTAAGGACAGTGATGGTGTCACTGGATTTTCTGCCATAGCAGAGGCCCACATGTGTCTCTCTATATCTGTGGGTATTGGGAGAAAAGGTGTTGGTCTTTGATTTTTCTTGAATCAATGTGCATTTAGAAGGTATGGCATGACTCTGCAGCCAGCAGTGCTAGTGGTGACTTCCTGACCCCGAATCAGAGCCGGTTATTTGCAGCCAAGTATCCTAGTTGATGCATGCATGGGTGCTGATGCCATGCAGGGTGAGTACAGGAATTTGGCTAGAGAAAATGTCTGAGTTTGATTTTGGTGAGAAATGACCAGGAGGTTGGTAGATAGATGACTGCAATAAGGAGGTGTAGAGTGTGATATAGTCAGATATATCCTCAAAGGACTGGGTATCAAACAGTTTGTGGAGAAACTGTGATTTGGATACAACAGAGAAGAGCAAAGAAGGCTTGACTACCTCTCTATCCTAAAATATGTAAGTGTGAAAAAATGGTTGACGATCTTTTGAGAACTTCAAGGGAGAGAGGGAGAGACAATCTCCAGTTAAGGATAACCCTTTCTACATTTATTAAAAAAAAAATTAATTTTGTGCATTGTATCTTTTCTTCTTCAGTTATGTTTTACATTTGGTTGTAATATATTATGCATTTTAATATGTTGACCTTAAATTCAGAACAATTAAATGAGTTCTGTTATTTAAATATTATATATTGTTGTAGGGAGACCCCCTGAAACTATTGCTATGGAATAAAAGATGAAATGCTCCTGATTATTGTAAATACAAAATTGCATGCAGAATTGTGTAAAGACAATGCCAGGTTGGACTGCCAGAATGAGCCAACAGCACGTGATGTGCTTCCCCCTGCAGAGAGCCTATGAATGGACGTGCAGTCAGGGAGGTTTCACATCACCAAGATTCCTATCCCAGAAAAGCAGACGTTCATAGCTCTGGTAATGGAATGCGACCCTTGTGGAGAGCCTATAAATGGATGCATGGGTGGGGGGGCCGGTCCATATGGATAAGATAGGGCTATAAACGCCCTCATCTTGCCGCGACTCCTCTAGGCCTCTTTAGAGTTAAGGCATACTCCCTTCTGAGAAATTCTGGTCTAATCGGCTGTCTAACTTCACGTCCTATTTCTATGAATTGTTTGCAACCAGCTTTTGCTGCAACTGTTACTGCTGATTAATATCTTACTAATCATAGGTTATGGAAAGACTGTATTCCTGTTTTAAGGCTCTGTTAGAAATTACTGATGCACACACTATATTGTAAATTCTTACCTCTGTATACTGTACTTTTGCATACAGATGTTATGTTAAAGAATTACTTCATCCCCATGTGACCATCTCACCTCATAATCAAATGACCCTAAATCCCTCACTAACCTGCCCCCACCCTCAGTAAACTTAATAATAAATGCTGGCATATCCAGTGCATTGCTGGCACCGCAAGACCAGAAGGCGGTGACCCCCCTGGACCCAGCTTTCACTATCTTGTGTGTGTCTATTATTTCTCAACCTGCCGATCCACCTGGGAACAAAGAGAGCCCCGTTGCATTGTGGGCTGCTGCCAGATCCTGCAATATATTATATTATTAATGCTTATATTAAGCTGATATTAATACAATCCAAATATGTATAAATTAATATGTCAATTGTAATCCCTAGGAAAACCACTTAGAAAATAACTGCAAAATATATAGTATAAGAAGGGAACTAAAATGACACCATACAAAATAATTGTTTGATATGAAAAAGGTGACAATGTAGGAATAAAGAATCATAATACTTATAAACATACATACATGCAACTAACAAAAGAACCTTAAAAGATGAAGCAAAAACTGACAGAATTGAAAGTATGAATAGATAATTCAACAACAGCAATTAAAGACTTTAATAAAACAATTTCAATAATGACTAGAAAATCTATTCAGAAAATAGAAGACAATAGAATACCCTAAACCATGTAGACCTAACAAGTTTATTGAACTATTCATCTTCCTTCTTTTGAACTGCTTGTTCGCTATTGAGCTAATCACACATTCTTTTCAACTGTACCTGGAATGTTCTTTCAAAAAGACAACATATTAGGTCATAAAACTTTATTTCATGAGCTTCAATAAACTTAAGTGTGATATCATGCGAAGTATGTTCTCCAAAGCCAGTGGAATGAAATTAGAAATCAGTAACAATAAGACATTTGGAAAAATCACACATCTATGAAAATTTAAAAATGCACTCTTCAACAACTAAAGTGTCAAAGAGGAAATAACAATGGAATTAGAAAATACTTTGAGATGAAAAAGTCTGAAGACACAACATACCAAAACTTATAGGATATATTGAAAGCAGTATGCAGAGGGCAGCTTATAGCTATTAATGCCTATGTTAAACAAAAAGAAAGATCTTAGATCGATAACTTAACCTTCCAATTTAAGAATCTAGAAAAAGAATAGCAAACCAAACCCAAAGCAAGCAGAAGGAAGAAAATAATAAAGATTAAATATTGCATTGTATGCATATACTACATTTTGTTCAGTCATTCATTAGATGATGAACATTTCAGTTATTTTCACCCTGTTTATTATGAATAATGTCATGTTTTTATATAAATATGTTTTCAATTTTGTTGGAAGCTTACCTGGGAGTGGAATTGCTCGGTCATGTGTAAGCTATGTGATTAACATTTTGAGAAACTGCCAAATTGCTTTCCAATGTGGTTGCACCATTTCACATTCCCTCCAGCAATAAATGAGGGTTCTGACTTTTCCACATGCTTGTCAGCATTTGGTATTGTGTGACTTTTAAATTATAATATCATGGTAGATATAAAGAAGTATCTCTTTGTGACTTTGATTTTCATTTATTTAATAACTAATGATGTGAAATATTTTTCCACATCATTTGAGGTGTGTCTATTCAAATTATTTGCTCATTAAAAATACTGAGTTATTTGTGTTCTTATCATTTAGGTATAAGAGCTCTGTATATTTTCTGGATAGTAGACTCTTATAAGGTGTATGATTTGCAAATATTTTGTTCCATTTCCTGGGTCATCATTCACTTTCTTGATAATGTTCTTTGCTGCATAAAAGTTTTTAATTTTGTTGAAGTCCAATTTATCTGTTTTTTCTTTGGTTGTTTGTGTTTTAGATATCATATCTAAGAAATTACTGCCTAATAAGCAAATAATTTCATTCATGAATGTTTTCAGCTATGTTTTTCTTAGAGTTTTTTAGTTTTAGCTCTTACAATCTTGTCTTTGATACATTTTGAACTAATTTTTGTTTATGGTATGAGGTATGTTGTATTTTCAAGGTTTTTTTTTAAATCTTAAAGTGTTTTCTAATTCCACTGTGATTTCTTCTTTGACATTTTGGTTGTTGAAGAGTACCTTTTTAAGTTTTCACAGATTTGTGATTTTTCCAAACTTATTATCATTATTGATTTCTAATTTCATCCCATTGAATTGTTCTGGCACCCTTGTTGAAAATCAATTGTGTATTGATGGATGGATTTATTTCTGGGCTTTAAATTTTATTCCTGTGATCAATCCTTGTGTCAGTGCTACATCATCTTGATTATTTTAGCTTTCTGTTAAGATTTGAAATTGTGAAGTGTGTCTTCTGTCTCTATTCACATGTTTATGTGGGCATAAAGGAAGCCTAAAAGTTGAAACAGTTAACAGTGGTTATTTTCTGAGGTCTGTTTTTTTTTTTTTTTTAATTTTGTGTCATCAGATTCTCTGTAATACTTATCAGAAAAAGAGATTATCTATTACAGTTTTTTAGCATGCAAGTGACATGCTCAGTGCTGTGCTCCAAATAGATAAAGCCACATTATGCCAACAAGAGGCTTGTCATCTTGGTATCCAGTTATAGTTTTTATGTCCATGCTCCTCTTTTTGCATTCTATTTGTGTTGAAACAACCCCTTCAGGATCTTTACTGAAACCACTCATAATCATCTCTGGATCCGTGTAGACAGTACAGGCAAAGTGAAATTTTGGTCTAGCTGATCCAAATGAACAATCCTTTGAATTGCTCACAACCCTGGCTGTTCATTAGACCACACACAGAGCTTTTAAAAACACAAATGTCTGGACCCTATCCCCAAATTGCGGATCATCTGTGTTTCTTAAAAAGTCAATATGTAATTCTCATGCATAATTGCACTTGAGAACTCAAACATGTGGTTTTTGTGGAATCTTCATAAAATTCAAACGGGAATGTATATGGCAAGCAGAGGCTGACAGCTTGTCTTCCAAGACAATCCTCAGCATGTCCTTAGTGTACAGCACAATAATTAATGGCTGAGGAATGAATGAATGAATGATGAGGTCCCACAGTTTGGCCTTATCCTGGTGTGTTCACCAAGGTTCTGAGTCTGACCCTCAGACCCTGAGACTGAGACTAGTGGCTTCATGCTTCATCAAATACTGTCCAAAGCTGACCTGTCTTGGGGATGCAAAATCTTGCTAACAGATGTGATAAACTATGAATAGACGAGTCCAGAATGCATATTTATTAATTGACAGTAAGAAGTATACTTGTCAACTGGACTGGATATTTCTATTACCCTAACCAGTGCATCCTCTTTCCAAAGACAGACCACATGGGAAACCAAGACATCCATAAGCTGCTTGGGGAGCTGGGAGTCAGAGCCAGTGAGCAGATGCTGCTAGTGTGGATTCCGCCAACAATCTGGAGTCTGAGCTTTTCTTGTACATTGTAATACTTACTAGATCAGGACAACAGGACTTACTGAATCAGTGCAAAGTAATCTCCTCCAGTTTAACAGGGCACTTTATTTGTCTCTATCACGTACCTTTCTTTGTGCTTCATTTCTAATTACCTGTCTTTCTGATTGGCGTATTGTTTCTTAGGTCATGTGAGATTGTCTTATGTTTAAGTCTTACCCTTAAGAGATTAAGTCTTACCCTTATAGAATTTCTATACCTCTCCTGTGAGCTAGGTACACAGAATTACATTTAACTGCTAAAACACAGACAAACAAAACCGCACAGCCTTATTTCCCTTACTTCCAAATTCTTAGTAAATGGAGTAGAGGAAGAGGACATCCCTCAATATACCACATACCACATAGTAACTGCTGAATCACCAAACTGCTTTGGTAAACAGACCCAATGAGAAAAATTGTGAACTGGTGAATGGGATTCTGTAGCTCTCAAGGTTAGAATCTTCATCAAATTTATCACTTAGCCTTTGACCAAGCTGCTCTCACATATGAAATAGCCAAACAACAACAAGAAAAAACTCTAAGAGATATAATATATAATTAACATCTATTTAATGTAAAATATTCACTAAATGTACAATTTCTGGAAAACATAAATTACTTAAATTGGTTTACATGTGTGTATAAAACTCAAAAAACCAACACAGGAAATACTTTAAAACTTTATATTCATCTTTTCTCTCTCAAAGGCTTAAGGACCAAATCCTACTGACAGTGGATTCACTCAAACTTGTAATGAACAGACCATTTTTGTAATAACAAATACAATGTACATCTTGGCAGAAGATAGAAAGCTTTCATTTATGGTTCAGAAAACTTGGTGAACAAGGAATAAAGTCCCACCCAGTTGTCAAGGCTGCTTGGGTAGTTCTTACTTCCCTTCTGCTGGAATTTTTTTCCTGGTGAGTTCCACTCCCAGCTTCCCAAGGAGCCCAAGGAGCACAAGGCTTTTTGCAAGCATCGTCCATGGTAATGGGAATAAGAGTGAAGTTCCAGTCCCTACTGGGTCAGAAACAGAGCAGGGAGAGAGAGGTGACTGGGTGACTGGGTCCTGGGGCTGCCATGCTTCCTGCAGAGGACTAGCTCAGTGTCAGGCACTCTGCTCCACCTGGTGGTTTGTGGCTGGGAATAAGCCTATGTGATTTTTGTCAAAGACAGTTACCTAGAATCTAGGTAACTCTAGATTCTGGAAGGAAACTTACCATAACTTACCAAACTTACCTGCTCCCCTCATGCACTTATAACACCTTACCATAAAGTCCTGCCCCTGTCTGCCCTTATAATACCCCTATCAAGTGGCTATGGCTGTGCTTATGCCCCACCAATGACAGGGGCCTCAGTGTGTCCTAAGTCTTCCATTCCATTTTTGTATGACTCTGACCATAGAAAGCTCTTCTCTAATATTATGAGTTAAAACTTGCCTTTCTCTAACTTCTTCATGTTTCCCAGTTGAAATCACTTGCTACAAATGTGACTCCTCACACACTCAGTGGCTGTTCAAGTAGGATTCAGAGTAGAGCAGAGGTAAGTGCATAGTATAGCTATTCTTTTCCTAAAACCTCTGATTCCATCCCTTCCTCGGATAGTTTCCTGGGGCATATGCAAATTTTTACTATTAGTGAGTCTTCTCAGCTGGCATTTATTGTCCAGAGGTGGCAAGGTTGGCATGGGATGGTCAGCACAACTCCCCTTACCCCAATCTCCAGGAAAAGAAATGTCTTCTGAGCTGAGCATACTCACCTTCCTTGGCACTTTTTTGAGCCCAACATAGTTCCCCAAGGTTTTTGGTGGCAGTTTTCTGGTCCACATAATTGCTGACCACACAAGTGAGGCTGGCATTGCACTGGCTTGGGAGCAGGCTCACTGCCAGAGTCCATGGGTTGGGGGACTGGTCCTAGTGTCCCTCTCTGCTCTAGCTCCCTGGGGAGGCCCTGGCTCTCTCAGGTCACATTCAGGTCCTCTGTGGTCCCTGGAACCCTACACTCCATGGTGACGTAGCACTAGCCTGGTATAATGGATGATGACTGAGCCAGGATCTGGGGGAGGGGCACAGACTCTGGGGAAGGAGGGAATAAAATAATAATTATTTTTATTCTGAGGCATGTTCTTCATTGATTATCTAATTTAGTTTCAGAGCACCTTGCTGAGCAGGCAAGATATTTCACAGCCAAAGAAACCAGGATTCGAAGAAGTAAAATAGTTTGCCCAAAGTCATATCCTGAGAAAGTGGTACAGAACCCCAGAGTTAGAGAAGGTGTATCAGCCAAAGTCTCACAGCTTCCTCCACCAGTTGTGTGTCCCCTGCCTGTACTAGATGCAGCTGAGTCCACATTCATTGCTCTTCAAATGCCTCATCAGACCCTTTACAATCCCCAGAGAACGTGCAGGGTACAATATAACCTCTTGGGAAAATGCCTTCCACTGAAGAATTTGCAAAGCTAGTTCTGAAAACTGGGTTTGAGACTCTTATGCTCTCATTTATATTGAAGGCATAAAAACTTAGGATTTGGAGATCATGGGAAGAAAAGTTCTTTGGAAAGAGCTATGCTGTGAGTTCCCTCCACACCCCATGAGTACCTACCCTTCACCTCAATCCTGGTGAGAGGGGCATCAATGAGACCATTTGGAGAGCTCAATGTGTGTCCCCTGCAGCTTGGGGATGCACTGGACAGGTGCCTGACTCACATCTGAGAAACTCAAGTGGGAGATGCTGCTGAAACAGCCTATGGCCGCAGAGTCAGGACCACCAGTGGGGAAACTGCATCCCCATTGAGGAGTCAAGTGAACCTGCTTTTCATCTGCTGGACATGGGACCTTAAAAGAATTGTTCAAGAGGGTCACTTGAAAATAGAACCCTAGTAGGGAGAGTCTGTATGGAAACGGAGCAGCCAGGAAACGGGGGTCAAAGAGAGAGTCATCAGTGGTCACCCTGAGAGTGTGTTGTGAATGACAAAGTAGGATGCAGATTCTCAGCATGGGTGAAAAAGGCCATCTATCCAGAGAAGCTGTGAAAATGCCCTGGGGGAGAAATAATTCACCTGGACACTGTCAAGCCCAGAGAACCAACTGATGGCCACATAGAACTACCCAGGAAGGCCTTTCCCGTCTTTCATCTCCATCCTCTTTACCGCTTCTCCCTGCCTGTCCTCATGGAGTTGGGGGAAGGAAGTCCATTTTTTGGCTCTTCTGTCACCTTTGTAGGTGTTTACAGGGAATTTTGTCCTGGTCTTTGGGTATCACTCTCCACATCTGCTGCTGATGGGACTGGTCCTGCTTGGCAGGGACTGGGGTGGGCAGGTGCTGCTGACACCTGTGGTTCCTGCCACGGCCTCTGTAATGAAGTCCATGCACTCTGACCTTCCTTATTTTAGCTTAGGCATCTTCTGGCCCACGACCTCTCTCAGTAATTCATTTCTCTATAGAGGCCCAAGAGAACTTCAGAATCTCCCAGCATCATGCACAGGCTAAGGAGAAATTGTAGCACTTCTAGAGGACTTTGTTCTTCTGAAACATACCATGCCCCAATTTCTGCTCAACAGGGCCCCCTGGGAGGAGGCCCTGCCCTCCCTTGTCAAAGGTAAGTGAGACCTAATCCCCCTGCCTTTGTTTTTCTTGTCAGCCTATCTGGAGGTCCTATCACCTGGCCTGCTCTGTTCCCTTCTGCCCCACAGCCCCCTCTGTTGAGCCCTAGGAAATGGTGATATCAAGTTCCTTCTAAGTCATAATCAGAGTCTCAACTTTAGGCATTTCTTCAATGCTTACTTAGATCCAGAATGTTATATATAGATGGTGGAAAATTACATATCTTACCTGGCATTGTTTTAGTTTGTGACTTGGAAGAACTCTATCCTCTGAATCTACAATCTTTGGTTTGGAACACACAAATCTATTTTTTTTTCTATCGGTAAAATTTAGTTCTTGCCCATTTTGGCAGTCAAAAGGTGAACACTGAGTTCTGCGTTCTCAGTAGGGTCTAACCTCTGCCTGAAGTAATGGCTGCCTACATCCCAAATGTTGGATGTTTGTGGGCAACAAGAATTACAGAAATGGAAAAGATACTTCGGAAACTTCCAGAGAAGAAGGCACTTGAACTGACTCAGTAAGCCCCTCCTAACACTCTGACCACACAATAGTGCTTGATAAAAACATAACAAAAATATTTTAATTATGTAACTTAGGTTCAGGAAAACTCCAGGTACAGAAACAAGAAGGAACTCAATGCTAAGGGGGTGAGTGGGATTTGAAGTTCTGGAGACCCAAGAAGTTATCAGAACCAGAAGCAGACCTTAGAGGCCCATGTTTGATATCCCTACATGAGAATGAAGTCTAGGCTGTGTTTGTGCTTGTAGTGAAGCTGCACAAAGCCAGATGAGGGGTTGGGGTGGGAGAACGAGTCTGTCTTCTTGTTTGGGAAACCAGGTTGGGGAATGCCACCTGTCCTGTCTTAAAGATGGAATCTGTGAGAAATTGGAATCCAATCCTGCACAGTGAATGAGTGTGGACATCAGTTTTCACTTTGTGCTAGAACTTTGACCCCAGAAGCTACCTTAAAAATAGATGAAACCTATAGGACCCCAGCAGGGGAAACAATAAAACCAAGAGGAGACTTCCTCAGCTCAGGGCATAGTGTAGGCTCTTGTAAAGAACAATCACTGCTGAAGATATGATAACAGTAAAAAATTACCAACATGTTAGGAAATGCACAAGCTTCTGATAGAGAGTTAGCAAAGGCCACTAACCAGAAGTCTCAGTCTGGGAACCACAGTTAACAGAGAAATTTGCAACAGAGCTTCAGAAAACTATGCTTAAACTCTAGAAAGAGCTAAAGGGAGAAGTCAAGCCTGTAATACAAAACAAAATATTTTGAAGAAAAAACAGGCAGGAGGGAATGAGAAGGAAGAATCTTAAGCAAAGAAACAGGTAAAAGACATTAGCAAATATTAAAAAGTATTGATGGTAAATATATATCTATATATTCAGATAATATTTCAAACTTCCTTAGTAGGGAAGTAAATCCAGGGAGTCACAACTTGGGAGCCTGTGCGTGTCAGAAGTGGACCTCCATTGACTGAGAATATCTCACTAAGGGTCACAGTGGAATCAGGTGCCTTCAGGAACCACTGGGGCGGGAGATGCTCTATCCCCAGTGATGGAAGCAGAAGGCTTGGTTAACCCCAGACACCTTCTCTAGACCTGAGCTCCTCACTTTTCCCAGGGGTCTTTATACACCTTGTTTTCTTGGAAGCATTGATTGTATTATAAATGTTATATTATTAATTTTCCATTTTTTAAATTTATTGATTGGTCTAACTCAGATCTTCATTTGGCACTGGTTTTGCCTATGATTGGGTCAGCTGAATAAATATATTACACACTATAGACAAAGATAAAATTGTACAATAAACAGAGGTAGAAAAGACAGATTATCTACAAAAGAATGAAAGGAAAACTACAATACAGCAGGATTATATAATGTATAATGTCATCAAACATTATACATTCAATTCAATTAATATTTGAATTATCTATTCAGTGGAACTATTACTCAACAAGGATAAACTAAAGAGATTTCCAGGCAAAATAAAACTGGGAATGCACACCACCATTAGACAAGCACTAAAGAGCTTCATGATGAAGAAAAATGGTCCTAGAAGGAAAGTTTGAAAAGGGACAAGAAATAGTGTGCAGAGAAATTGGCAAACAGGGAATAAATCTGAACACTGATTTCATAAAAAATAATAATTTATAATTGTGGTAGTGGAAATACAGAAAAATAATAATATTGAATGAGACAAGAAGAAGATGAGAAATTTGAAAGTACTTCAAAGTCCTTTAATTTTTAGGAAGTGGATAT